AATAAATAAATAAATGTATATATAAATATAAATATAAATATAAAAATATAAATATAAATATAAATATAAATATAAATATATATATATATAGAAACTATATAATCTGCGATGAGGCTAACTTCCGAGCAATCAATGAACATATATGCACAAGTAGTTACATGTGCATGGAAGACATATTCTGAAAGTTATCGCACACGGTCGCATACCTTAATGGGACACCACGAGAGACAGTAGTGGAGGATAGCGCCAATGCCTTCCAACATCGTCACCGAATGCCACGGCACAGTGTTCTGCGTGGCAGATGAGAAAGCACAAAACATCGACGACATGAGCACACGCCTTTGCATTGTGTCTGAGAACGACAAAACCATTAGACAGCACCGTTGCAGTGTTGTTTAACACAACAGATATCAAATTATAACTGTTTCAGACCACTTTTGAGATATACAATAACTAATTTAGACCATTTTTGAGACAGAATAGCTAATTTAGACCACTTTTGAGACATATAATAACAAATTTAGACCACTTTTGAGACATATGATAACTAATTTAAACCACTTTTGAGACATGTAATAACTAATTTAGACCACTTTTGAGACATATAATAACAAATTTAGACCACTTTTGAGACATATGATAACTAATTAAACCACTTTTGAGACATGTAATAACTAATTTAGACCACTTTTGAGACATATAATAACTAATTTAGACCACTTTTGAGACATATAATAACTAATTTAGACCACTTTTGAGACGTATAATAAATAATTTAGACCACTTATGAGACATATAATAACTAATTTAGACACACCCCCACACCCCCACATACCAACGAGTGACTTTCTTCCGGGGAACTGGTGCTGTTGAATGCGTTGACGGCGAGTGACGTGGAGAGGCATTGTAGTACCGCAGGCACGATTATATCCAAATGACTTCCTGTGTGCGGCAGACACGCCAGCACATACGTAATCCAGTACGCATGCACGGCCCGCAGAGCTGTGCAGGTATATTGTGGGGTTGTGGGTAGGGTTTAGGGTTTAGGGTTATATTGTGGGGTGGACACGCCAGCACATACGCACATATAACTCGGAGGTGTTTACGTTTATGGTGCAGCTGTTACGATACAATGAGGGTAGTGGGTACGGTGAGAGACGTTTATGTCATGCGCCTTATTGGCTGAGGCTGTCAGGCCAATACACACGTAAACGGATACGCATACACAGCTCTACGAGCTGTGTAGGCAAATTTGAAAGTATGAGTGTAGGTGTAAGTGTAGGTACAAGTGTAGGTAGAAATGTAGGTTTAGGTGTAGGTATAAGTGTAGGTATAAACGTAGATGTAAGTGTAGGTATAAGTGAGGTATAAATGTAGGTGTAAGTGTAGGTATAAGTGTAGGTATAAACGTAGATGTAAGTGTAGGTGTCAGTGAGGTATAAATGTAGGTGTCAGTGTAGGTATCAGTGTAGGTATAAATGTAGGTATAAGTGTAGGAATAAGTGTAGGTATAAATGTAGGTGCAAGTGTAGGTATAAGTGTCGCTATGAACGCAGATTAGGTGTAGGTATAAGTGTAAGTCTAAAAACAAATGATATATGCACTACAGTTAGACTGGCACAAGCACATACACGGCATGTTCAGGGCAATCAGGATGGTGTCCAGGAACAGTGGATTCTGTGCGATTGTGTGGTTGCGCACTTTCCTATCCGCCTTTCCTTTGCCACTCGGGACGTCCACCCACCCCGATGCGTTGCCACGGTTACCGGAGGCGTTGCTATGGTTACCGCCGGAGCTCTCGGCGTTCAGGCGCATGTTGTCGAGTACCACCACAGACTGCAGCAGCTGCATCAACGCCACTTGCAACTCCAACTGTTTAGGCGTCACCACTGCATGCAAGCGACCCAGCACGACGTTCTCAATCTGACAGCGTGTGTGTGTGTGCGCTCACGTGTCAGTGTACGGAGGAACAGGGGCACAGATAGGACATTGGGGATATATATACTCTCAATCTGACAGTGTGTATGTGCTCTTATATGTCCGTACGCGCTTGAATAGGTGCACAGTTATAGGCGTTAGGTTTGGAGATTGAAACGAGAGTCGTCAACAGCGGCAGTATCAATCAAAAGAGAACAAACGTTTATGACCCTTTGCATCAATGCCGTATGTGCATCCATGCTCAATATTACTACTGCGTGCGATGACTAGGAACAAAAAATGGGTTCAGATTAAACGCATACGCACCCACGCACACGTCGATAGACATTTGTGATCAGCAATAGATGCGCAAGTCACTGTAGCTGTACAACCACATGCTGCCTCCTACGCACCACCAGGCGTGTATACACACACACAAAGGCACACGGGGGCACACTTAAACATAATATATATATATTTATATATATACATATATATAAATATATAAAAATTGACAAATGTAGCTCACACAAACCAACCTCCTTCAAGTTGATGACAACCATGCTGTCATACACTTCCGGGTGTTGCACGAGTGTGTGCGTAGTGTGTGTGTAAATGCACAGGGTATACATACGCGCATATCCAAACCCAAATACAAACGTGCACGCACACACAAAATAAAAACACCAGCACATAAGTGTAATATACTAACACACGCACACACACAAAATCATACACATACATGAAGAAATGTACAACCACATGAAGTTCATTTCGCAAAGTTGAAGATATGTACAACCACATAACATCCACATCCCACACATGAAGATATGTACAACCAAATAACATCCACATCCCATACATGAAGATATGTACAACCACATAACATCCACATCCCATACATGAAGATAAGCACACATCCACATCCCATACATGAAGACAAGCTCACATCCACAGACTAACCTCGTCCAAGTGTGTGACGACCATGTTGTCGTAGACCTCTGGGCGTTGCATGAGCGTGTGTGCTGTGTGCGTGTATATGCGCAGAGGGTCTCTGTTCTTGTTGGTGGAGGTTCCGTTGGAGGTGTCTTCATTGGACAGTCGTGTGGTGGATGCCGACGGGCCAATATATGCGGATAAAGTTCGGTACTGTAGGTAGAATGTGTAGGTAGAGATAATAGGTAGGGATAGGGATATGAGTGTAGGTAGTTACACAACTTTTCCATACTCCGATCCTGGCGGTACCAGAGTGGAGGTGGGCATACTGATAAATCGGGCGATTTGACAGACTATCCTACTCCGCAACTCAACCATTTGACTATAAAATCCCTTGCTTACTCATATTCCTACATGTACATCTCTCAAGCCAATACACACCAATTCACCCGCACTACACATCATGCATCACATTTCCTCTTGCTTACTCACATACCTACATGTACATTCCTCAAGCCAATACACACCAATTCACCTGCACCACACATCATGCATCACATTCCCCCTTGCTTACTCATATACCTACATGTACATCCCTCAAGCCAACACACACCAATTCACCTGCACTACACATCATGCATCACATTCCCCATTGCTTACTCATATACCTACATGTACATACCTCAAGCCAATACACAATAATTCTCCTGCACTACACATCATGCATCACATTCCCCCTTGCTTACTCAC